AGGGGAAAATCCTGCCCTATGTCCCCTGCCAGCTCCAGGGCAGAGCATCCCATCCATCCTGCTGTGTGGGAAAGTACCATCCCAGGATTTCTGCAGTGAAGGGTCTGAGTTCCCCAGAGCAGAGCTGGGAGTCCGGCTGCAGGCAGGGACAGATCCCTGCCAGGGAAGGGCAGGAGGGCACAGGGAAGGGCAGGAGGGCACAGAGGAAGGCACTGTGCTCTACCAGCCAGAGCTGGGACCTGTGTCAAATGTCACTGCCCTTTCACTTTGAAAAAGGGGAAAAGGTGGAGTTTTACTCCTTCCTCCCTCTCCAGTCCAAGAGACCGGGAGGAAGTTCTGCTCTGCCCCTTCCTCCCCTCCTGGACCCAGGCACTGGGCTCTCCATGGAGCCACTGCAGCACATCCAGGCACTGGAGGAGGCTCTAGGGCCAGCCAGGAGCTGGGAAGGGGCACAGCTCCTGTTTAGGGACCTCACCAGCCGAGTTCCAGGAGCTGCAGCCCCAGGGTGAGGTGACACCTCCTACAAACTGAGTGGTGGGATCAGACCTGGGTGCTGCAGGGGCAGACAGGGTGCTCAGCCTTGTCCTGGACAGCTGGTCCTCACCTCTCTTCACACCTCAGCAACTGCCCGTGGATCAGCATCCCTCCAGATGCTCTTCCTGCTGGAAAGCTTGGAGACATGGGGGCCTGTCGGTCCCAGGAGGGTGGGACAGAGCTGGCAAGGGCTGTGCCAAGAGGCACCGAGCCCCCCTGAGCTGAGCCAGCCTCTGCAGCGATTTGAGGGAAGCAGGGAGGCAAAGGCTTGGGAAATCCCAGCCCCTGGCTGTGCTGCCCTCGCTGGGTCCCTGCAGGGGGGTTTAGGAGTGTCTGATACTGCCGTGGGGGTGTCCTGTGTCCTGCTCTGTGGGTGTTTCTCTCTCCCTGGGCTCACCCGGGGGCCCAAAAAGAGCTCTCAGCTGCAGTGCCAGCTCTGCTCCTCCCGCCCCAGGCAGAGCAGGGATACCCTCCGTGCCTGCCCCAGCTTGCCCGGGGCAAGGCCTCCGGATAAACCCTCGCTGGGGGAGGCAGGGAAAGCCCTCCCAGAGGGAAAGGCAGGCTCTGCCCCCGGGGCTGAGCACGGGCAGGGCAGGGAGGGCTCCGATTGCCTGCACACGTGGGGAGGCCACCAGAACAATGTCCCCTTGCCCCGACACGCTGGCTCTGAGAGAGCCCCGTGCCCCGACACGACGGCTGCAGGTAAAGCCCCGGCTTGCCAGAACCGGCCCCTCCCGCTGGCAGGGAGCCCTGACATGCCAGGAGAGTTATTTATTTCACGATGAAAGGAGACACACATTTCGTTACGAGAAACCACTCCAGGTCTCCAGCGCGATCCCTCGGAGCCTCCCTGCACCGCCTCCCCCGGGGGCAGGGCGAGGGTTTCAGCCTCCAGACCCACCCCAGAGCCCAGCGCCGGCAGCCTCCGCCTCCCACGCCGGCTGGAGCTGCGGCCAAGACTGGGAAATGAGTGGCACGCTCAGGGAAGCCACAGCAAACCTCTCCCCGCTGCCAGCAGCCTCCATCCCTGTGGCACACCACAGCCCAGCACCTCTTGGCATTTGCCTGGCACCTCTGGATCTGATCCCACAGCCCATCCCAGCAGCACCTAGGCAGGAGGAGGAGGATGCTCCTGGGTGGGATCAGGGATGTGCAGCCACGACAAGGCTCGATGGAGCGGAAATGCCACAGGTCCAGCCCCAGGGATGAGGCTCAGTGTCACCTCTGCCACTACTGCGTGGGTTGGTGCCCGTGGAAGTCCCACCCCAAAATTAACAGCTGGCTTACTCTGTAATTAACGGGCTGGCGACTCCCCGGAGATGCCAGAACAAGGTGTGAGCTCCCAGGGACCCTCCCTGTGCTGCCACCCACCTCCACATCCCTCTGGCCACGGAGACATCCAGCAGCTCCCGCTGTGTCCCTGGGCTCTCACACCCACCAGGTGCCCAGAACAGAGCAACCCAGCTCCTGCCAGTCCTGCTTCACCTCATCCCCCCCGGAGAAGGGGGCGATGGGATGCCTTAGGAATGGAACTGTTCCAGCTTCATCCAGTTCCACGCTGAGAGCACTGGGAGGAGGGAGCATTGTTTCTTCCCTGGGCAGGAGGGGACACTGTGCAAAAATCCAGGTGACATCTCAGCTTTGCCAGGAGCCCTGGCAGGGCACCCTGTGCATGGCAGGTGATATCCCCAGGTGATGGTGCCCATGCAGAGCCATTCCCAGCTCCAGCCCACAGAGCAGGCTGGAAGAGACTCCCAACCCACATTTGGGAGAAAGAGGAGGACAAGGAGGGCAGCTGAAGAGTGTTGACAAACAAACTGGATTACTCAGGCTGGGAAGGTGTCCAAAGCAGGAAGGCAGAAGGAAACACTGGTCATAGAATGGGAGAACTGGGATGCAGGAGCTGCAGGCAGTTCTGCCAGAACCATCCAGGTGGAGATCACACCCAGCTGCCCCGACAGCCCCAGCACAGTGCAGCATCCCTGATGCCTCCATGCCTGCTTGGAGGGATCCAGTCCCACCAGTGGGGAGGAAAGACCCTGGTCCTGAGCCACCAACACACCAGTGACATGCGTGTGGCTCATGACTCCTGGGAGACATTGGCACCAGCCACCACCACGTGGGCTGGGACAGGGCGTGGGACCTTCCCAGCTTGGATTTGATGGTGGGGCTTTTCCCACCTCCCTCCTGCCTTAAATCCAGCTGCAGTGCTGAGAGCTCCATCCCCAGGAGGCAGAAAGGTCTGGCTCAGGTTCTCCCCAGAAATTCTGGGGGCTCCAACCTCGGGAAGCACCACCAACCCCAGAGAGTACCCTCCAGCAATCAGGGGCCACGGCAGCCTGGGCAGCCCACCCAAACTCCCCAAAGTTGGGAGGACAACTGGGAAAAGTTGCTTGGAGAGGGGTTGGATCGCTCTCTGGGCGCCCACTGGAGCTGCAGCAGTGGAGAACAGGCTGATCTAGGCAGGAAAACCCGGAGTTTTCCCCGCCACGTTGCTTTGCATGCCTGACAGCAAGTCGTGCCTTGCCTGTTGGGTTACGGCCCCTCCCAGCTCCAGGGGCTCCTCACCCAGAGAGCTGAGAGGTGCTCCAGGAGCCCAGTTTGCTCCAGTCTCTCCCAGGGAGGTGTCCCAGTACAGATGCACGTCCCCCTTACTCAGTCCAAACCTTCAGGGCTGCGGTGAGGCACAGGACATGTCCCAGCCCAGTCTCCATCATCCTATTCCACAGCAATCTTTTTTCCATTCAATCTTTTTCCCCTTAAATCTTTTTCCCACTTTTTTTCCAGTCTTCATCCCCCCTGCCCACGGGCTGAAACCCACCCTGAGGTAACAGCTCAGTCCCCACCAGGGTTCAACCATCCAGCCTGGTCTTGCAAACACCCAACTCCTGACCCAGCAGAGTCAGATTCCTGCATAGAAAACCCAGACGGGGCTTTTCCTTGTTATTCTTCAGGATTAGGATCACAGGGCTCGCACAGGGAGCTATCTCTGCACAGAGAACCGGCAAGTTAAAGGGAAATTCGGGATGTGCTTTGGATCCAAACATGCTGCAGCCACGGGCAGCCCCGGCCCGGCGCAGCCTCACGGACAAGCCGCATTTTGAGCTCTAACTAATGCAAGGAGAAAACCCCAGAGCGAGTTCCAAGCTCTCCTTCAAAGCTCAAAAACCTGCTGGCGTCCTGCTGAGCCGCATACCACGTAAGCATTCCTGCCAGGAACGGCGGGGGCTGGCAGGGCCGATGAGCTCCGCGGAGAGAGACACCGGGTCCCACGGCAGCTCTGCCACTCTGCTCCAGCTGCAGCAGCAGCTTTTCCCCCACAGCCCTTGGGGACTCCGGAGCCACTCCCGTGGCTTTATGGCCGACACAGAGCAATGATACGGTGGAGCCACCTCCAAAACACCGGCGCTCCCGAGGCTTTGAGCTCCCGGCAAGACGCACAAGGTCCAGCACGGAGCCACACTCGCTGGTGGCACCCGCCCCAGGTGTGGCTCCGCGGGGTGGGCGGGTGGCTTCACCCACCGCAGATGAGGGGGTTTCCCGGCCCGGGGAGCTGAAAGCAAAGCCGGAGCGTGAAAGGGCTCGGAGGTCGCGTCCTGCCCGCTCGGGAGCCCCGGGGGAGCCAAGCGCCCGCACCGCCAGTGACGCGAGGTGGCTCGGGGGAGCCCAGCACCGCGACAGAGGGGTGACCCCACTTAACAGGGGTCAAGCAAGTCCCCGCGGGTCGCAATTAGCAGCTCTGACTCCCCCCTACGCCCCACCCAAGCCGTTGCTTCGAACAACCCCTGCCTGTGCAGAGCCATAATCCCACGTCCCGCGGTTCCCAGGCGGCTCTGGCCAGACATCCCGTGCCAGGGGCGAGGCGCTGACGCCCCGGGACAGACGGGCTCTCAATAACCACATTGTCACCCTGCCCCGTCCCACGGCCGTGGCGGGGGCACTGCTGTGTCCTGCCTGTGCCAGGAAGGCTGGGGGCAACCAGTCCTGCCCTCCACCCCAGAACCTTTGGCGGGGGGGGGGTTTCCCTAAGGATCTCCCAGCACTGTAAAGGCGGATAAGACTCAGTTGCCCGCCAGCCCCAGTAGCCGTCGTGCTGACAGCAGTGTTCCTGACTGGACTCGGCTTCCAGCATCCCCCGAAGGGTTCCCCTCTTCCCTCCCCGCAGCTCGGGGGGGCTTCGCGCACAGACACGGACCCCCGGAGCGAACACAAACACCCCCGGCACAACCCAGCCTTTCATTCGGGAGCCAGGCGGGCACCTCGGGTACCCCCCTGAACCCCGCGGGCAAAATCGCGCGGAAACTGTAAAAATAAAGAAGTTTTAAGACCGAGAGAGGAGAAGAGCAGGAGGAAGGGGGGGAGGGGTCCCGGGAATATTGTGGGGGGGTGGTCCCAGAGGGATTGAAGGAGGGACGGGGAGAGCGCACTGGGATAAAAGGGGAGCGGGGGGCGCGGCGGGGGCTCACCCGCGATGTGCTGGCGGCGACCCTCGTCCAGGTGCGTGGAGACCACATCTCCCATGGCGAGCGGAGCCGGGCCGGGCCGGGCGGCGGGAGGAGCGGCAGGAGGAGGAGGGAAGAGGGAAGAGGGAGGAGGAGGAGGAGGAGGAGGAAGGCAGCGCCCGGGGCGGCCCGGCAGCGCGGCGCCCCACGGGCCCCCCCCGGCCACTCCCCCCGCACCGCCCCGCGTCCCACCCGCCGCCCCCGGCACCGGCGCTGGGGGGGCGCGGGGGTCCCCCCGCCGGCTAATTAGCCGCTCTAATTGCTCGCTGGGGGATGGGGAGGCTGGAGGAGGGGGATGTGTCCACCCCCGCGAGTCCCCCCCCGCACACCCGCGGGTCCCACGGCGGGCGCTGCCGCCGGGAAAACCGGCTCCGTGTTGGCACCGGGATCCTCCACTCCCGGCATTGCAACACCCGGGCTCTGTGCTACCTGTGCCCACACCCCGGGCCTCCCGCCCTGACCTTGCTCCTGCAGTGCCAAGGTGGAGAGCGGCCGTGGGAGCCGGCGTGGGGCCCCTCTCCCTCCCCAGCCTGTGGGAAAATGGGATGGAAGAACTCAAGTTGACTTAAAACCCTCCCCAGCCACGGATTTAGGACCAAGGGCTGTTTGGCTCCGCTGAGCCGGGATGGGGGGCTGGCATCTCCGCAGGATCACCGGGGTGCTTGGAGGGCACAGAGTGGGATACGAGAACCAGGAGCGTTCCACCGATCCAGCAAAGTCTCCTTTGGACACAACCGAACCAAGGCAGGAAGCAGCCGGGG